TGGCAGGCATTTTCAATGAAGCTTCTCCATTCTGGCTGGCTGGAATTCCAAAATCTTGCAGCTTTACCTGAGCTCCCTAATAGTTGCTCTTTTTTGTGCTTGCACCATCTTAGCCTGTGAATGTACAGCTTAATATTCAGCCAAAACTTGGACAGATTCCTGGAGACCCTTACCTTGTAGCTACCTCCTTTCTGATGTTCTCTTTCACAATTTCCAGAGGCTTTGGCACTATCAGTTGTGGTCTCTGTCTCCTCAGCTTGGCAAGGCCATCATCCCCTGCTTAGGCTCCAATTCCATGGACCACAGTCCTGAGGGTGCCTCCAGGCATAAAGCTAGTGTGATCGTGGGGCTCACCTTGTTTGTTTCCTTGATATACGGGATTACTTTCTGAGCTGACTATTGTCCAATGCCTGAAAATGGTTGTTCCATATCCTCTTGCTTCTGGCAAGAGGGCTAGTCCTATACCAGTTACTTTATCAAGACAGAAAGCAGAAGCTGTGAAGCGACTTTAGTTTAAACTGTCCTCAGTTAAATGCTGTTCACATTTTCCCATTTATATTTTTCCTATGTTGGCAATAGACGGCCTTTTAAAGGACAACTTTAAAGCACCAAAACATTAGAAAAGAAATATAGCACATCCATAATTCCCCTACCCAGACAACTACTCTCAACATTTTGGAAATTTTGTTCTTTCAAGCTTGTCTGTGCATTTTGAAAACGTATATTAGCATTGGTTCCTAAGGCACTAGCAAAACCACTTTTGGTAAGACCCAATGAAAGATGATTGTCATTATTGTTATTAATGATATTAATAATCACTAACTGTAGGTGCAGAGGAAACAGTACCGCTCAGATAATGCCTAGACAACAGCAGAAGGGGAAAGAGAAAATAGACATTACTTTGGGGCTGAAAGTGCTGAGAACAAGTAAGTTATTCCCTGTGGAATTTCAGAAACAATTGTAGGGGAGGAAGTGGTTCCTTGAATAGGGAGAATGTTTCATTAATTTTGGTAAATCTACTTACAGCCAGATAAATAGATTTTGTGCCCATATAGGATAGATATTCTGCTCATATCATGCCCCCTGTCGCTATTCCAGTTACAATTATTTGAAAGCACACTATATATAAAATTTTCAGTCCTGTATTTTTCAATTAAGACTACATAAAAAGTATTTTCAATGTCAGTTAAATCTCTTCAAAAACATCATTTTAGTGATTGCACATTATAGTATTCCATAATATAGATATATAATTTACCTAATGCTCTAATGTTGGCTACTTAAATTATTTCCATTTTTTAAACCACTTTATTGAGAAATGATTTACATGCAAAAAGTTGTTCGTACTTGTACACAACTTGATGAGTTTGGATATAACTATACACCATGAAATCATCACTACAATCTGTGGCATATACTTATCTATCATTTCCAAAAGTTTCTTCTCTCCCTCTTATTTATTAATATTATTTTGTGTCTGTGTATATGATAGGACTGCTTAATATAAGATCTACCCTGGGGCCGGCCCCGTGGCTTGGTGGTTAAGTGAGCGCGCTCCGCTGCTGGCGACCCGGGTTCGGATCCCGGGCGCGCACCGACGCGCTGCTTCTCTGGCCATGCTGAGGCCGCGTCCCACATACAGCAACTGGAAGGATGTGCAGCTATGACACACAACTATCTACTGGGGCTTTGGGGGGAAAAAATAAATAAATAAAATCTTTAAAAAAAAAAAAAAAAAGATCTACCCTCTTAGCAAAATATTAAGTATACAATACCGTATTGTTACCTCAAGGCACTATGCCGTACAGTGCAACCCTAGAATTTATTCATCTTATATAAATCAAACAGTACCCTCTAATAGAACCCCATTTTCTCCTTGACCCAGTCCCTGGGAATCACCACACCACTCTCTGCTTCCATGAGTTTAATTATTTTAGATTTCTCCTATAAGTGATATCATGTAGTATTTGCCCTTCTGTGTTTAGCTTATTTCACTAGTATAATGTCCTCCAGGGTCATGCATGTTCTCACAAATGGCAGGATTTTCTTCTTCTTTAAGGCTGAATAAATTCCTTTGTAGGTATATTCAACACTTGCTACATACATCATCTGCTGATGGATATTTGTGTTGCTTCCACATCCTGGCTATTGTGAATAATGCCACAACAAATATGGGAGTGCAGATAATTTTTTCAGATCAGGATTTCAATTCCTTTGGATATATAGCCAGAAATGGGATTTCTGGATCATATGGTAGCTCTATTTTTAATTTCTTGAGGAAACTCCCTATTGTTTTCCATACTGACTGTACCAATTTACATTCCCACCAACAGGGCAAAAATGTTCCCTTTTCTCCACATCCTCGCCAACACTTGTTATCTTGTGTTTTTTTGATAATATCTATCCTAATAGGTGTGAGGTGATATCTCACGGTGGTTTTGGTTTGCATTTCCATGATGATTAGTGATGTTGAGCACTTTTTCATATACTGGCTGGCCATTTCTATGTCTCTTTAGAAAGATCTTTATTCAGCTCCTTTGACCTATTTTTTTTTTCCTTGGTGAGAAAGATTACCCCTAAGCTAACCTCCATTGCCAATCCTCCTCTTTTTCCTGAGGAAGATTGACCCTGAGATAACATCTGTGCCCATCTTCCTCTACTTTATATGTGGGACGCCTGCCACAGCATGGCTTGATAAGCAATGCGTTTATGCATCCCAGGCATCTGAACCTGCAAACCCCGGGCCACTGAAGCAGAGTGCATGAACTTAACCACTACGCAACTGGGCCGGCCCCCTTTGGCCCAATTTTTAATTGGATTATTTGCTTTTTTGCCATTGAGTTGTATGAGTTCCTTATATATTTCAGATATTAACCCTTTATCAGATATATGGCTTGCAAATGTTTTCTCCCATTCCATAGATTGTCTATGCATTTTGTTGATTGTTTCTTTTGCTGTGCAGAAGCTTTTCAGTTCAATGAATTCTCACTTGTCTATTTTTGCTTTTGTTGCTTGTGCTGTTGGTATCATATCCAAGAAATCATTGCCAAGACTAATGTCCAGAAACTTTTTTCATATGTTTTCTTCTAGGAATTTTATGGGGTATTAGGTGATATTAGGCCTAGGAAATTCAGGAACTCTCAATACTACTCTAATCCTCATCATTCTTCCCTTAGAGTTCTACAAAAGAAACAATAATGAAAAATAAGGCACCACTTTTTAATTAATCGGGCTAGCTCCTAATATCACTCAAGTTCAGAGCTCAGATAAGCTTGGGTTGGAGTATTTGGTCTACTTAAAGCCCTTCAAGGACCTCGACTTCCCTTACAGCTTAAATCCCTATTGTATTGTCATATTACCTTCTGGCTGGCAATGTGATGCAGAAGAACAAAGTAATGATGAGTAAACCTAGGCACCATTCAAAAACAAGAGAATAGAGCAAGTAAAGTCCCTAAGGAGGACCTTGTTCAATTTATCAGTCCAGTCTCAGGAAGAAGAGAGGAAATAAGAAAAATATTCAGTACTATTATAACTCAACATGAGTTATAATAGTACTCATGTTTTAAAACATGAAATTTTAAAGCACAGTAACTCTACCCAGCAGTAAACATGTGCCCATCGATATCCCAGAATCTTACAAAGCAGATTTTCACTCCTCCTGGGAAACAAATAACTAGTGAAAAAGGTATTGATCCCTCCCCCACACTATTGAGAACTGAGTCAAAGGATATGAGTATTTGTCTTTTAATACATTTTGCAAAATTATTTTCCAGAAGGATTGTACTAATTTTCCTACCCACCTGCATCACAAAAATGTCTTTTTCCCTGCACTCTCATTATACAACTAACGAATTCTGCCTCTTGTTAGTTGTGTGATTTTGGGAAAGTAACTTAAAAGTGCCTCAGTTTCCTCATCTACAAAATAAGATTGATAGTGTCTAACTCATAATGTTATTGGGACAATGTAATCATATAAAACCCCTAAAGTAATGCCTATCTTGTGTTAAACGCTCAATAAAATACTAGTTGTTATTCTTTGTCATGGTTGTTGCTGTTAAAATCTTAGCTAATATCTCAGGTGAAAAATGTCTCTTGTAATTTTACTTGTTGAGTTATAATAGTACTGAATATTTTTCTTATATTTAGTGCATTTCTTCTTTGTAAATAGTCTGTTCATGTCTTTGGCCCATTATTTATGTAGTAAAATATTTTAACTTTTGTCTGGCATCTCCCTTGAATATTTTCCTCAGTTTGTAGTTTATCTTTTAATTTTCTTTATAATATTATCTCACAGAAGTCTTTCAATTTATCTTGTAAACTCAATACTTGTTTTCCTTCATGGTTTCTTACGAGGCTTTTGTGTTTTTCAAGTCCCTTCCTATCCAGACATCACAACAATTTTAACTTCTTTTTTTTTTATTTATTGTTTCAGTTTTAATATTTTCCCCTTTAATACAAATAGAATGACCCTTAGTGTGTGAAGCGCTGCTTTATTTTTAAACCCAAGTAAAGTTTGTGTTTTTTAAGAGGTTAAATGAAGTTTTTGCCTAAAAAATATTCTATGTTTTTCAGGGATATGTTATAACTAAATATTTAGTAGTTTTGAATAGTGAGTGGTGTAGATTTATGCATGGCAATAGTCTTAACAGTATACACAATCATTTTTTACCAATATGTATATAGCCATTTAGCGAAATCCACATAAACTCTAATATCTTTACATCAAAACTAGCAAAGAATGCTTCGACAATGTCATACTTTATAGAAAAAGTGGCCCTGGGGGATGGGATTTTGGAAAATATGAAATGGATTTAAATTACAACCAATTAATAAGAATAAAAATTTTCTATTTAGTATCAATAAGAATAAGTTGTGTAGCAAAAACTAGAAATATCCAATTAGGTGTCAGGTGTAAATGAGCCTCTTCTACAGGCACTAATATCATAAACCCAAAGTTTGTTCTTTTTGTCTGTGCCAAACAGGTAAACAGGCATAAATCTCAATGGGAGAAGGAAACCAAACCTCTGTGGCTGAGTTTATCTTCCTTGGCCTTTGCCAGGACTTGCAGACCCAGATCCTGCTATTTGTGCTTTTCCTCGTCATTTATCTCTTGACTGTGCTTGGAAACTTGCTCATCATCATTCTCATCTTCATGGATTCTCGACTTCACACGCCCATGTACTTTTTCCTGGTAAACCTCTCTTTTGCAGATCTCTGTTTCTCTACTAGCACTGTCCCTCAACTGTTGGTCCACTTCCTGGCAAGGAGGAAAATTATTTCTTTTTTTGGGTGTATGACACAGATTATTGTCTTACTTCTAGTCGGGAGTACAGAATGTGCATTGCTGGCGGTGATGTCCTATGACCGGTATGTGGCTGTCTGCAAGCCCCTGCACTACTCCACCATCATGACCCAACAGGTGTGTCTCCAGTTGGCCATAGGATCCTGGGTCAGTGGGGCATTAGCGTCTCTGGTGGATACCACCTTTACTTTCCAACTTCCATATCGAGGACAGAACATTATCAATCACTTCTTTTGCGAACCTCCTGCCCTCCTGAAGCTGGCTTCTGCAGACACCTACAGCACAGAAATGGCCATCTTTGCAATGGGTGTGGTCATCCTCCTAGCACCTGTCTCGCTGATCCTCGTCTCCTATTGGAATATCATCTCCACTGTGACCCAGATGCAGTCTGGGGAAGGGAGGCTCAAGGCCTTCTCCACCTGTGGCTCCCATCTCATTGTTGTTATTCTTTTCTATGGGTCAGCAATTTTCACCTACATGCGGCCAAACTCCAAGACTACAAAAGAGAGGGATAAGATGATACCTGTGTTCTATACAGTGGTGACTCCAATGTTGAATCCCATAATTTATAGCCTGAGAAACAAGGATGTCAAAGGGGCTCTCAGGAAACTAGCTGGAAGAAAGTCATTTTCTTAGAGGCGATGATCTCTGGGTCTGACTTCTAGAGCTATGGTAACATTCTTAAAAGAAGAGCAGAATTTCAGTAAGCACTTATGAATTAGGTCATTTCAGGAAGAGTATGAAAGTGAATGATGTGTTATAGAAACTGTGATTATTCCACTCTAAGCTAGAGCATAGAGAAGAAATAAAAGGATGAAATGTTAGGTTATATCCTGATTATGAAAAGTGTCCAGTGGTATTTTGAAGGAGTTTGTGGTTAATTTAGCTAGCATGGACATGTTTTAATCATGATCACAATTAAATCTAGGAGGTTTAAACTGAGTTATCCTGAAACAATGTCTAATATGAGTTGCAAGCATGATTCTAAATCAAAAACATTTCAACTTGGATGTCTCAGTCATACAAACCTAGGAGTAGGCTCTGAATAAACAATCAACATATCTGGAATAGTCTTTAATACTGGGATCATTTGTGGCCCAGAGCATTTCAGCTTGTAAAAAGGCACCAGAGGCAATAATACTTTCTATTTCATGATCTTCTCTCCTGAAAGCTCCAGAAAAGGTTTTTGTATCATCATTCCAGATTTCATATAAGTATAGACTATCAGAGTAAAAAAGGAATTCAACAGTCATCTAATCTAACCATGTGTCTGAGGCTTAAACCATCCCATAATATTTCTATCGAGTAATTGTCCAGCATTTGCCTAAACAAGAATGATACGGCTCCTGATTCTTGGATTCTTTTCTTTCATATACAAATAGTTTTTACTATTAGAAAGATGTTCCTCAGAGTAAGTCAAAATCAATTTCCCTGTATCTTGAACCCACTTTCCCTAGTTTTAGTCTTAGAACAATTTTCACCATCCTTCTATACTCACTGAAGTCAGTTTCTATAGTTGCCCAAATTTAATTCTCACCACTCAAGAGTTCCCTTCAAATTCCTTTATCTGACATGCTTTGGTACCCTGTATTCCTCCTAGTCATCCTCCTTTGAACGAACCTGATTTACCCAATGAATATCTCTTACAAAAGCAAAAGATAAATTAGAATTTTGGAAATTGGAGTTTACTAATCCAAGGCTGACCCCTCTGTAGACTTAGGTGCCTGTACGCCACATCTCACTGTTACTCAACGTCTCTAGAATGCTCAATTCCAGAGCCTACTTCAGGTTCTCCTGCACCCTTAGTCCAAATTAACTATCTGACAGCCGCTTCCTTCTTTTACCCAAACTTTGAATTCCTACAGTTACCGTGAACATGGGTCCAGGAACAACAGACCTCAGATTGACTCTGCAATAGAAGACATGCCCAGTGAAAATATATCTAGCAGCTAAATTTCTTGTTTCTTTCATTCATGCATCCATGTGTTCATTTTAAAACCACTTACTGACTCTTATTTCATTTTATCTTATCCAACTCTAGGTGTATCCAATACGCCCAGAGCAATGACTGACGCATAAAGTGTTTAATACACATTTTTGCACTTGTCACTATCCTTTTAAAATTACTGGAGCTGCATTACAGGAGACAAACTCTAATCTGGGGTGTGATGATCAGAGAAAAACCTTCATTCAAACAACATGTTCTAGTTGAGGTGATATAGATAAGAACAGAAAATTAATAGTTGAAGCTGGTAACTTGGCTGACAGTGATGATCGGGACAAGATCTATTTCAGTAAATGGTGGGAACATAAGAAAATGGAAACGGAAAGTGTAGGCACTAATTTCCAGAATTTTCACATGAGAGAGAAGGAAGAAATAAGGTATGGCTTGGAAAGTGGGGTTGTGAGCTTTTCATTTTATTTTATTTTAGATTCCTAGGTCACTGCTGCCTTTTCTTGAAGACTTTAATCCCTAGCTCACTACCACTCTCCACAACACACTGCTCCTGTTATAGATTTTGGTTATTTTAATTTTCACATAGAATGAAATGTTCTAACATTCTGCATTCTCAGAATTCCTTGATCTGCCTTCCTCCAATAATCTCTGCCATTCACTCCTATGGTCATATCTTAAATATTGCCATTACAGGTCATTGTATCCCCACTGTCCAAATTCTGAACCCACAGAATCCAGAGCAAAATCAAATGGTTGCTGTTTTAAGGCACTAAAGTTTTGAGACAGTTTGCTAAGCAGCAATGCAACTCTAACGCTGAGAGAATCATGCAACCATTCACTCCATCAAAATAGATGCCAGCGGGGCTTTTTCACATTACCAATAAAAAGCTGCCTTCTTGAAATTATTACCTCTCATGCTATGGAGGGAGAGGGGAAATAAAGGGCCACGAAGCTTCTAAAGAAAAAATATTTAGTACACTCACCCAAAAATCATACTAAAAATGATGTATTGATCAGGGTTCTTAGGTGCAAGTAATTGAAACTGAGTACGTATAAGTTAAAAGGGAAAATATAGAAATAATGGTAATTCTGTTCCTGCAGCCAGAATCACAGGCCAAAATCATAGCCGAGTCTGATGAGGACATCACTGCCATTCAGCACTAGACGGCGCAATTTACACTGCCATCACCATCAGCTCAGGCTCTGCTACTAGAGCTGCTAATTCGCTGAGCCTGGAAATTATCATGTTACTGCTTCTTCTGCTACTGACAGAAAAAGAAATTGTCTGCTGACAAACAGTACCTCTGTCAGGTGTTCAAGGTTAACATCACTAATGACAAATCATGTTGATAGTATGTACCTTTGACATGATGTAAGGAAAATGGCACTCTACCTCTGTGAACTTCCTCCACAACACCCAGAATCCCAGTCTAATCCTGAGAAAAATGTCAAATTCCAATAAAGAGGCGTCCCACAAAGTACTTGACCAGTACTCCTGAAAACTGTCAAGGTCAAAAAACAAGGAAAGTCTAAGAAACTGTTGCAGGCAAGAGGAGCCTATGGAGACATGACAACTAAACGTAATGTGGTATCTTGGATGGGATCCTGGATCAGGAAAGAGACAGACGATAATAATCAACCAACCAACAAAAAAAACAAAATGAGGAAATCTGAATAAAGTATGGACTTTAGTTAATAATAAGGTATCAATGTTATTTTCTTAGTTGTAACAAATGTACCATAATAATGGAAGATGTCAATAATAGGGAAAACTGTGGGGAGTATATGGGAATTTGCTGTACTATCTTCTCAATTTTTCTGTAAATCTAAAGCTATTTTAAATAAGTCCATTTTTTTTTAAAGAAAAGAAAAGAAACTGCCATCCTTGCTTTTTCACGTCACTAGCTCTTAATTCAAAGCCTAGACCAGGTGTATCTAATTGATTGAGTCCAAGTTACATGCTGTGCCCTAACTGCAATGGAGACAAAGAAAGTGAATTTTGTGTATATTTAGCTTCTGTGGAAGGACACAGACTCTAATTTCCCTCAAGATTCACAGAAGACTATGAAGATGGAAAGGGCATTCAGATGATCAGAAGCCAAAATTTGACAAATGTTCATTACACATGGCCCATGAAACCAAATCACACCCAGTAATGTCTTGATTACCTACAAATTCCAGATTGACCAGTGCAAGTCACAATCTACACGACACGGTATTCTGATAACGTGTAGAACACAGAAGGTTGAGTAAAGAGATACACTAGCTTAGTGTAGGGAATGCTTCTGTTGGGTGTTAAGACAGTCCTCATCTGATTGTGTTTACTAATACATTCCAAATGCCTAGTACAGTATCTGGCACATATTAGATTCTCAATAAAAATTTGCTGAATGAAATATATAAGTGATCAAGGAAAAGTGTTGGCATAAGTCAGGTCGAGTTTTCTTCACATTTTTTCTTAAATAAATACAGACAGGCTCTAATTCAGAAGAGCTGGATTTCATGATGATAGAAGGGAATGGAGTTTGTAGCAAACAATTCTATGCATCTTAAGGATCTAGTCCCAGATGGCTTCAGAGTCCTTTACTTTACATTGAAAGTCATATACTGAGAGAAACTTGTGAAGTTGTGCCATAAAAATAGCTGGACCTTCGGTGAGATGACTGCAACCTGAAAATCACCCTTGTTCAATTTGACAGCAGTGTCCAGGCTTCAGTGGACATTTGAACACACATGGTCAGAAGCTTCACACCTATGAGAGGTATGAGACGAAGGCTGGTTGTTCTCCCTCCTATTCTGTGCCGTCTCCATTTCCCTGCACTCTTATTTGGCTGTAGATCATGTTTGAGCCTGTTTATTGACAATACTTTTGAGTTAAATTTTTATTTTGTCTAGCTGGTTAAATACAACTTTCATAAAGGTCAACCCCATCACAAACAATTCATGGCACACTATACCCCCAGTCTTGGAAAATATCATTCCACAATTCTGTCATATCTTTCTAATGGTCCTCTAAGTCTTGAAGCATTGAGTGAGAAGCAGAGGGACAATTATCAAGTGATCTGAGCTTGAAGCTTAGCTTTGTCATCTTTAGTTTCAGTGAATTTGGGGATGAAAATCTCTACCTTATAGTGTTGTAGTGATGATTAAGTTAGATGATATTTATAGTTTGCTTATGATAGTATGAGTACCGAAGCTGGCAAAAAAATTCTAGTTCCCATCTTGTTTTACCTTGGTCAACACATGGCCTGGATTTGAAGCTCTCTACTAGTTTAAGATCTTCCTCTGGGACTCAATCCCAGACCCTCTCCTTTGACTCTTCTCTCTCTCTCTCTGCAATGTCCTCTCCACTCATAACATCAATTACTATCCATGCAGAATGGACACAAATGTTACACATCTAGCCCCAGACACCTCTAAGCTCCAGATGCCTGTATCTAACTGCCTATTTGACAATGCTTCCTGGATGTCACCAAGTATCTCACACTCAACAAGTGAAAACTGAACTCATGATCTTTCGCAAGATCTTTACCTCGATGCAAAATTGAATGAATCGGTGAGTCACTAAATGAGTGAAAAACATGTTAAACCATGTTACACGCAAGATGGTATCTTGTCGAAATTATGTCACTGTTTTTTGGTTCCAAGCAAATGGCGGAGAAAGGCGATAAGATGGGAG